GCAGGCACAACCAATTTGTAAGGCTACTGCCAGGGGTGGAATTTGTTTTATTTCTATATCACCAGAAGTGCAATTGTAAGTTTTATTACATGCCCAACAACTTACTTTGTCTGCCTTTATTCTACTACTAGTGTCAGTGTTCACTACTGCTGGATCTGTTTCATTTTCGGAACCTTTCCATGTATTACACCAAGGAGTGGTTGCCATGTGCTGGAATTTTTGAGGTATACTCAGAGACCGTGCACTGTCCCAAGGCTCTATTTGTGACCTTTGTGATCTTTTGCCTCGCACTTCCACACCAGAGTGGTTTCTGACACATTTTCTATAACCTTTTTATAATGTGGAAAGTAGCATTGCCAGTGATCTCAGATGCCCCCCTCCCATTCTATTGGATATCCCATTGTGCCATTATTTTGAAAACAATTTCGTTGACTCAGAGGATGCAGCCATTGTCCTATGACTTTCCCGGTTACCTTGATTACCCGTCTCGATTCTGGTACCTGTTTGCATGTAATTGTTTCGTTCTTTTGTATTTCAGGCAGTTTTTTCATTATGATTCCCCAATTTATTGGGTCTCCCGCTGCCTTTGGTATTGGCAGACAGGCAGTTATTCTGCTAGTGTTCTGCATTTTGGCAAAATCTTTTGCTAATCCAATCATTAGCAAACTCAGCCCGAATAGCACTGGAAACCTTTATCACCTGTGTTTCTGCCTGCACCTCTCTCTTCATTCTAGAATGAAGAGTGCTTCATTGATCTTTTTGCATTCCACATCCCAAAGACCATGACATGAGCATTGGTACAATTACTGGTAACATTCCTGAAACAATTAAACACATCTTATCTGCAGCTTTGTTGGTCCCACAGTTTACACAGTCCGCAGCCCGGGGTGGGCTTTCTTCACTCAAGTGTAGTCTATCCAGGAGTCCACTCCAGCTACCTTGACTGCTGTAAAGGTGGTCAGTAATAGCTGATGGGGTCCAGTCTACTTTACTGTCAATGGTTCTTCGTTCCAGTTCTCAATGTACACCTCGTCTCCTGGATGTATGTCATGAACTGGATTCTTGAGAGTCAGCGGCCTATTCCACATGAGGGCGCTCCAAAGTCGTGCTAAAGTTTTCCCAAGAGACAGAATATAGTTATATATTCCTGTTTTCCTGTGACGTGTGCATTTGGATTGGGTCCAGGAGATTCGCATGGTACAATATCTCATAAGGACGGACTGACATCCCACTCCTAGGCTTTATCCGGATTCTCAGCAATGCTATTGGTAAAGCTTGTGGCCACTGCAGTTTGGCTTCTTGACATATGTGGTAGGTAAGGGACAGGCGGAGCGGAAGACCACGGGATGTCACGGAAAGATAGACCCCTCCCCTTCTCTCTTCCCCACGTTATCTATTAACCCCAGAAGCCCCAGAAGCGTGTAGCCACACCTGCCCTGGTAAATTTCCACTCCTTACTAATCCCTGAGACCCCCCAACCCCCCTCTGACGTAGCAAAAACCCCCAAGACTATTTAAACCCACGAGATAGGATAATAAACGCTTTTCGACCGTCTGCCATATTGGTATCTGCGTGTGTTGATTAGCCCGAGTGGCTTGGGCGAGACCAGGCCGCCGTGCTGCCTTACCTGAACCAGGTCCCTGGTCGCCCCTTATAAAGGCAACAGACATATTTTATTTATCCGCCTTTTTAGTGTCTGATTCATCCTCTCCACCTGTCCACTTGACTGGGGTCGCCATGGTGTGTGGAGGTCCCAAGTTATTCCCAGTAACCTACTAACTTCTTTTACCACCGTGGCTATGAAATGGGGCCCTCTCTCTGATGATGTCCCTAGAGGCACCCCGGATCTGGGAATGATTTCTTGTAGTAACCACTTAACTGTTTCTTTTGCTTCGTTCGTGCAAGAGGGAAGGGCTTCTGGCCATCCAGAAAATGTATCAACCCCTACTAACAAGTATTTCTATCCTCGAGTTCTTGGTAATTCTACAAAATCTACCTGGTTTTATAATCTCCTGGTTCTATCCTTACCCAAACCCTTCCTAGTTGTTGTGTCTGTTGTCTAGCCACTGGGTAGTTTTTCAAGCAAATCTCACACTTTGACATTATTGATTTTGCCGTTGTTAACATTTGTACTGAGACCAAATAACATTTTAGAAACTTTACCAACACCTCTGCACCCCAATGACATTCATTATGTTGAATTTGTAGAACCTCTCTCATTACCAAAGGGGGAGTACCACTATCTGTCCGTGTGCAGTTACATACCACACTTCTGGATTCTTCTGTGCATTCAGCAAATGTCCCAATTTCTCACCTTCTGCTGAATATTTTTGTTGTGGAGGTAAATTGAATTGAGATACATTACATTTTAAACATCCCAATGCCATTGCTGTTTGCACCTTTCAAGCAGCCTGTCAAGCTGTCCAGTCTGCCTTTCAATTTCCCTCATAAATTTTGGAGTCTCCTGATTGATGTGCCTTACAGTGCATAATTGCCACTTGTTCAGGTTTTTGTACTGCTCTTATCAGCTGCAGAACTGCACCTTGATGTTTAATGTGCATCCCTTAAGACGAAAGCAGGCCCCCTTCTTTCCATAGGGTCCCATGCACATGCACTACTCCAAATGCATATTTTGAATTGGTCCATATGTTCACCTTTTTCCCTTCACTTAATTCTAGTGCTCTGGTTAAAGCAACCAGTTCTGCCTTCTGGGCGAATCTATTGGGTGGCAATGCTTTTGCCTCTATCACTGTACTGATTGCTGTTACCGCATATCCAGCGTGTCTGATTCCATTCTCCATGAAACTGCTTCCATCTGTGAACAACTCCCAGTCTGGCTGTTCTAGGGGTGCATCTTTCAGGTCTGCTCTGGCCACACAGGCGTGTTCTATTACTTCCACGCAATTGTGTTCCAATGGGCTTTCTTCAGATGTCGCACCTAGGAACAAGGCTGGGTTCAAAAGGTTAGTTGTTTTTAATGCTACATCCGCTTGCTCTGTAAAGATTACATGGAATTTTATCATCATTCGACTCGGGGAGAGCCAGTGGCCCCTCTTCTGCTCCAACACAGTAGTTACCATATGTGGTACATAGACATCTATGTGCCTTCCCATGGGGAGCTTCCTGGCTTCTTGAATCAGGATCACAGTGGCTGCAACTGCCCACAGACATGAAGGTCATCCGGAACTGACGCTGTCAAGTTTTTTGGAAAAGTAGCCCACCGGCCTTTTCCAGCTTCCCAAACGTTGGGTTAGGACTCCCAGTGCCAGACACAGCCTTTCATGTACAAACAGCTGAAACTCTTTGGACAAATCAGGTAACCCCAATGCAGGAGCAGTTGTCAAGGCCTCCTTTACTTTGAGGAAGGCCTCCTTCTGTGGTTTGCCCCAGGTAAATGGCTGCGTCTTCTGGGCCTCAGACAGGGGTGTTGCAATTAGTCCATAGTCCATGATCCACAGGCGGCACCACCCTGTCATCCCGAGGAAGACTCGCAGCTCATGTAGATTCTGGGGCTCTGGAATGGCACAAATAGCTTGAATAGGTGAAGCCGCAGGCAGAGGGAAGACAAGCACAAACAGTATGATTGATAAGCAAGCTTCATTTATTCAAAAATCCTGTCAGTTTCTATAGGGTTTGCTACAAGCAAAGTCAGCAACAGCTCTCATTGGTCAATTTACAAAGGTCTTTGCTCTGTTTAGCCTACGGGCATTTACAACTATAGCCAGGTTTCTTAAGCCAAGTTTCTCATCCCTAGTCACGTCGTCATGGTACATCCCATCTTCTCTGGGCACATCTGGTCATACAGCCTATTCTTGCACAAGCATATCTCCAAGGATATGCTCATCCTCATTATCCCATTCTGACCTTGTACTGTTTCCCAGGCCTAGACAGACCTTGTACAGTTTCCCAGGCCTAGACACAGAGCCTATTTCCCAAGCTCTCTTCCCAGGCCAGACACAGCCTGATTCTGATTCTGGGGTCTTAGACACAGGTATCAATGAATAACTGCTCCATTGATCCATGACCCCTCTCCTGCAACCATTCTCCAACAAATACGGTTCGTACCCAGTTTTTGCTGCCCTTGTGAGATTTCACATCCCAGATAAATCACAGTCTGTTGGGCAATTTGTGCTTTTTCTTTAGATACCTTATATCCTGCCATTCCCAGTGAATTTAAAATCTCGATTGTTACCGATATGCAGGTTGCTTTCTCCTCTGTGGCTATCAGTATATCACCAACATACTGTAGCAGCAGGTATTGTTCTCTCCGTACTTGACCCCTCGCCATCCAGGTCTCCAGCTCCTTTGCCAGTTGGTTTCTGAATAGGGTGGGACTGTTCTTGAATCCTTGTAGGAGACGTGTCCAGGTGACATGCATCTTTTTTCCGTTTCCTAGATTTTCCCACTCAAAGGCAAACAGGTTCCTACTTTCTTTGTCAAGAGGTATGCAGAAAAAGGCATCTTTTTGATCAATTACTGTAAACCATTTATATGTCTCTTTCACGGATGTTAACAATGTGTAGGGATTGGCAACCACTGGATAAATGTCCTTAGTTATTTCATTTATTGCTCTCAAATCCTGCACTAGTCCATATTCACCATTGGGTTTCCTCACTGGAAATATAGGTGTATTATATTCTGGTTCACATTCTTCTAAAATTTGGTATCTCAAGAATTTATCAATAATTTTTACTATTGCCTGCCGTGCTTCTGGTTTTATAAGATACTGTTTAGCTTTTACTGCTTTTGCCTCTTCCTTTAATTCAACATGTATTGGTTGTGCTAATTTAGATTTCCCAGGTATATCTGTTTCCCATCCTGAAGGAATTACTGCAGCTTCTACTTCCCTAGGAATAGAGGCAGCTGGTTTTTCTTTAATCATTAACAAACAGGAACAAACATTGCTTGAATGATTTCATACAGACAAAAAGACAACATGGAGCAAACTTTGGTTTAATGATAAAGACAGATTGTGTCTCAACAAAGTGACAAAAAATAGTGAACACCAAACCTCTTACATTTATTGATAAATCTAATAATACTAATACATCTTTAATAATACTCATGAATCTTAACGAATAAATGGAGATATTACAATCTAGTAAACTAAGTAGAAGAATAAACAACCCTAAAAACTTAACAAACAATCTTATTTCTATCTAGTTCTCTTGACAGCTAACTCTTGCTAGCCCTGGACAGCTGCAGGCCTAATTTGCTTTTTTCTTCTTGGGGAGAGGCCCTGCTTCCTTCCGTGGGCGATGCCTTCTCCTGTGTTTGTTCCTTTCCTTCATGGTTTCAAACACCCTGGAAGACAGGAGAAAAACCATCCATTGTCAATTTAAGACACACCATTAACCAAATGCTGAGATCTCCATTTTCGTATGAATTTCTCTCTTTTCAGGCTGTGACACATTTGTAAATTGATCAGTATCATGAGTCTGATCTTTCTTGTTTCAGTACTTTCAAATGTCTTCCTCCTTATGCTTTACCCTATTTTTAATTTGATCAGCCCCATCAAACCAAGCTTTGATGTATCTACTCCCACTCGTATGAATTGTGTCTTGTTGGGGCACGGCAAGGTTTCATTCTGAATGTTGGGTTTTGACTAAGCTGTTTGGGTTTAAAGTGGGTTGTAACCTTGACTAGGGCTGCAAGGGGCGATCCCCCAATGCCCCCAGCTTCCCCAGGGGTCCCTCTGAAAAGAGTCAGCCTGTTTTAGTCCAAAGGGCAAGCTTTGAGCAGGAAGAGGAGGAACTTGCGCACCGTTTGCACAGCCCGCAGGGAAAGGGGCCTCTTGCCGAATGGCGTGGCTGCTGCGGCTGGCACCAGGGACACTCGGCGCTGCGAGCCCTCTTGCGGCTTCTCTTCCCTGGCTCCCCGTTCTCCTTTCTGGGAGGGCTTTTGCTCCTCTTTGCTTCGGCCACAGTCTGCAAATCAAAAAATCGTTATCAATGTCTCCATCCTCTCAGAAAGCTGGAAATCAGAACATCCAGCACAAAAATCTATCAGTCTCAGAAAATTCCTCCAAACCCCAAAGAGCTGAGAAAACGACGCAGCACTTTCAGGAAAATACTCCTCCTTTCTACAGCCCAAAGAGGTTGCATAAATACGTGGGTATCAATAGTTCTACAATTCTGATTTATACCGCACTGCCTAACATCTTTTTAGCTCTATTTTTCCTCCACAAATGTCTAGGGAATGGGTCAAATTAAATTCAGGCAAATTAGTGAAGACACATGGTTACCCATTTTCTACTACCCAAAATTATTTTCCTCTTTCTATTTCTCTCTCTCTCTCTCTCTCTCTCTCTCTGAACCAAATTGCTGCTTGCCAGTAAGGAAAGTTTAATGGAGCCACATCATCGGCAGCTCCTTCTTTGGGAGAATGCTGGGATGCCACCAAAAAAATCCCTGAAAATCTCCAGCATCTCCATGAATGCAGCCCAGATTACAGATGTTAGCAAGCAACGGGGAATGAAGGATCTGATTGGAATCAGCGAGGGTGCCAGCCTTTGAGAAACCAATCTATAGAGAGTCAAAGCCCAGTTTGGTGATAGTGCTGCTTTGTTGGGTCAAAGTTATGCTCCAGGATTTCAGGGCAGCAGCACCATGAAGCCTTGGGCAGCATCTGCTGTGCCTTTCCCAGTGCATGGGACAATGTGATCCTGGCAAAAGGGCATCTCGCATGGCTCGCCAGCAGGTTTTTTCCCCTCCTTCCATTTTCTTGACCTTCCTGGTATGTCTGGATCTCCTTCCCACTCACCTGAGCACGAATGCTGACTAGTTTATGCTCTTTTTTCAAGGAGTAGTAGTACTCCACACACTGTGCCACGGTCTTACTCTGAATCTGTTGTGAAGAGAAAAAGAAGGAATCTAAATATGGCCATCCTGTAGGGTGCACTGGAGAAAAAGTAGAGTGTGGAATAAACCAGGAAGTAAAATCATGGAGTAAATCGAGTAAGGTGTAAAATGAGATGAATATGGAGTAAGAGAGGCACTATGCACTGTAGTAAACCCTGTATTATGCTACATGGTAAGAGATACAATGTGCAGATCAAAGCCAAATCCATCTAGCATAGTTCTTCTTTCCCCTGTTCACTCCAGTTATCCCAGCATTGTGTGTTGTGGAAGCACCGGCAAACCTATGAGACAAGTCTGACAGAAGAAAACCTTCATCTTCCAAAACAGTTTGGAGAAAAGGGCTGGAGAGGCAGGATCATAATTTTCACATAGGCCTTCGATGTCCCATTTCATTCCTACTTTAACATTTTGGGTACTTGAGAAGAGAGAGACTGAATTCCAGCATTTGGTATCAGAAATAAGGAGCATTTCCTTCTGATCATCTGCTGGATTAAAGAATGTCCTGTGGCTTTACCTGCTTCTGGATGAGATGAAAATCCTTGCCATAGGTGTGGAAAGCCTTTCGGAAGGACTCCTTCTCCTCAGGTGTCCATCTATCAGAGCCTGGCAATAAAAAGCAGCAGGTAAATTGATCCCTCTCTCCACTTGAAGTAGATCCCATTGGCTGCCAAAACAAAATCAGCGCCATCCATCAATCACCTGTGTACATGTCTGCCCTCTCAGAAGGTAATGAAGACAAGAGCAGGCATTCCCCAGGGAAAAAAACATGGACAACAAGCTGAAGGAGTAGATGGTGGTGCTTTCCCTGCCCCCCTTATGCTGGCGTTACTCGTTTAAGCAGAAATGCTTGACAGGGCAATTAAGGGGACGGCAGCATCTGTCAGTGAACAAACAAGCTTTGCTTTGATTACCTGCGTAATGATATTCAGCCAAGGGATGGCCTTGAGGCACTAGTAGCCCCCCTGAGAACAACATCTCCAGAGCCTCCTGCAAGATCAATGGGAAAAAGGCTCTAGCTGCCCCACAACATAAAAAAGGAGCCAGAAAAGAGAAATGCTGCCTTTCGGCTACTTTGCCTCTTCAGAGATTCCAGCCACTGCATCTCATATGGGTTAAACATTGTGGTTTGTTCCTAGTCCCTCATTTTTGCTGCCTATCCCTTTGATCCTGGTCCCCAGGAGTGGCATTTTGCTGACCAACTCAATGATTTTGATCCTCCTGCACTCAGAATTGCCTCAGCTCACTGAGGCTTCTGGGAATTTCCCCTCTATGCACCTCAAAATGTCTTAGAGAACACTGATCTCCAGGAGATTTGCAAGGGAGCAGGCTGCAGGACCCTCTGTCAGTGCCTCCAGGAGAGACATTCTCCCTGCTCGAGCCCTTTGGGCTCACCCCTGACGCAGCTGGAGGAGACACAGCAGGCAGCAAAAGTGCTCTGCTTCTTGTCAACTCCCTGCTTCAAAAGCAGCCAGGAAAGGCTGTCCCAGTGCCCGGGCCTTATTAATTCCCTGTCCACTCTTCTCTGCAGCCAAACAGCCACTTCTTACCGAAATGCTGCCGCGTGCCTGGTGCAGGCAGTGCAGGGCGAGCTCCAGCTTAGCTGCTGCCCCGGGCATGCCACGGGAGCTGGCCATGTCCAACAGTTCTCTTACTGCAAGCAATACAAAAGCCCACTGAAAGTCAGGCTTGAGCCGAGGAAAGGGGAAAGGTTGCCATACGAGGCAGAAGGAAAGCACAAGAGCTCAAGGCAACAGGTTGGAGAGCATGAAAAGGAGAGCAAAGAAAGGGGTAGGTGAACTAAGGGTCCACACAGTGCTGGCCCTCCCTTCAAAGCAGCTTTTGTAATAAGAAGTGGGGGCCAATCTCCCCCCTTCCAGTGGCAAATGCCTCTGACCAATTTGGAGAGCAGGACGGCTGCTCTTCTTCCTGCTCTGCTGCAAAAGCATCCTCCTTGCCTCTAGCCCTCACATGAGGGAAGATGGGCAAGACAAGGAGAGAAGCAGAGCCTGTAAAAAACAGACTTTTTCACCCAAAAAGGAGATTTTACACACCCGAGTATCTCAGGGGTGGAAAAAAATCTTGACAGCTATCTCTGTCCGATTTCTCCATGTCAGAGTCATCTTCCTCCCAGGGCTTCCAGACCAGGGTTGCACGCTCTTCATCTTCACTTGGCGGTCTGGTCTGCAGCTCAGGGAGCTCAGCCTGAAAGTCACTGCCAACATTGATGTGCCTTAAGGAAGAAGGAGGTGGCAAGAAGAGTAAGAAAGGCAAATGGTCAAGAGACACCTCCAGTGGACCCACAGGCTTCAACCAATCCCAGCCTGACTCTGAAATAGCAGTTCTCCTCCTCGCCATTCCTCAAGTTTGCTGTCCTTTAACCCCCTTTGCCAAAAACTCACGGCTTAATGTTGGCTCTTGCTTTCCTTTTCCATTGTGCCTCTCCTTTCCACCTGAAAGAGATCAAAACAATGCTCCAGATAAAAATCATTCTGCCAAGATGTGTCAGTAGCCCTCCTTCTCATCCTCATCATTGCAAACCACAAGCTCCGCTGTCCCAGCTCCCCTCAGCTGGGTGTAATTGCTGCCTTTTTCACTTGGAATTTACAAGGCAGGACCTTCTAGCAGTCTGCAGCTTCCCCAAGAGGGGAAGCAGAAGGCCATGCACTACTCCCTTCAGTCCAGGGACCAGTGAGAAGACCCAAGAGAATGGCATGGAAGATGTGCCAGTGGAAATAAGGAAAAGGTTCCTCAGCCAGAGGAGGTTGGGCACTGGAACAGCCTCCCCAGGGAAGCTGTCCCAGTGCCCAACAAGATGGAGAGAACTCAAAAAGTGCCTGGGCACTGCTCTTGGGCACAGGGTGTGGCACTCGAGGCCATCCTGGGCAGGCCCAGGAGCTGGGCTTAATGATCTTTGTGAGTCCCTTCCAACCCAGAAAATGCTGTGATACTGTGATTGTGTTCTTGAGAAGGACCACTCCAGATGGCATTCCATGGCTGCCTCTGACCGGGAGGCGCCTACAGGCATTGGAAAACATGGACAAACCTACACCAATATCTCCACAGAAAAGAGATCCAATGCAAGTGGGGAGAAAAAAGACTTATAAAGATATTAAATGATACTGTTTCTTTATATGATGCAAGTATGTAAGTATATAAGACTCGCTGAAACCAGATCATTTTTGTAGGTGAACGCCAGGATTGAAGGGCAAGCCTGGCAAGCTGCTTCCATGCCCTGAATGACAGGGATCACAGAGGAGAGGTCCCATCCTTCTGGGTTTTAAAGCTTTGGAGGAGGCGTGAGCAGAGTCAGGGCGCAAGAGGATTTGTTGCCACAGAACCCCTGACCTCCTCAGTAATATTTTGGGGCGAGCACAACATAGGTTTAGCATTTAAATGGGCACCAAGAACTTTTCATCAGGTCACTAGTGGATGCGAATCTGCAAGTGCATGGTGACAGCTCTCTACATCCTCTATGGAAAGGTCTGTATTTCCACTGGAGGCAACATATCTACAGAAGTTGGAATAACACTTTCATGTGTAACCGTGTCTGGGGAAAGTAGCACAGACTATGTCTGTCGTGGTTGGTGGGACAGCCAACTGGATCCTCCTGCCATTCTCTTAGTGGTTTGAGGGCAAATGGGGATTTTCTTACCTTTGACAGTCCCAAAGTGCCCTGGGGATGCCTGGCAGCAGACAAGGAGATGAGGATGCAGATCCAGAGGCCAGATCTGACGCTGAGAGCAGAAGGCGGCTGGTCAGGGACAGCCCAGGAGCAGATCCTGCAGCTGCTTCTCCACCGCTGCTCCACCAGTGTTCCACCAACGGCCGCAGGAGCAGGAGACAACGACAGTTGCTACGGGCACAGCCCAACATTCCATGCAGAACCCCAGGGGACCGGGGGGGGCCGGGGGGGGGGGGGGGGCAGAAACAGCAAAGGGCCACCTTTGCCTCTGTTACTCCTTCTGCTGCAAGTTTGCTCTGAGGACCTTCCCACTGGGGCATTTCTCATCAGTCCTCTGCGCAGGGAAAAGCAGTGCAGGGACAGCTCTGGGTCTTCTCCGTGCTTCTCTGCGAGGTGCCTCCAGCGGAACATGCGCAGGAGCCTGGCTCTCTCAAGCCACGCTGCCTGCACTGGAGAACCAGAAGGACTGCTACTGCCTCTGAACCAGAAGGCTCTCCTCCGGCTCTGACAGGAGCAAGAGCTTACAAGGTCAGAGAAGAGAAGAACTTCTCTCAACCAACTCAGTGGAGAACCAACTCCAAAGCCCTGACCTCCTTTCTCAATTGCCTGGTGCCCAAGAATATCACTTGGTGTTTTCCCTCTCTTCCTTCAACACTCCTTCCTTGAAACTTGGAGAAACAGGATATTTCCAGGGGAACTCATGGGAGCACACACACAGAGACAAGCCACCAGCATTTTTCTGTAGCAAACATTAATGAAGAATTTCTAGGCCTGTCTTCCAGCTCCCTTGAAGAAGTTAGGTGTTCGTCTCCAGACTCTGGGATTCCTCTAAACCACTAACACAAACAGAATTGCTTTTCCGCAAGACAATGGCCTTCACGTTTGTTTTAATACTTAGGCCCCACATATGACAAAACCCAGCCAGTTTTACTGCTTTCCTGCCTCATGTTAAGCAAGAGCAAATCTTGCTTCCTTCCCACCCTGCGTGTTACACACACACCAACAACGAGTCAGATATTCACTCATTTGCTGCAAACGAGTGAAATACCAATCTCCACTGGTCACATATTCCAGCAAACGTGTGAAACACCAAGCTCACTCTTCACTGGTCACATTGCTCTCTCAGTTTGAGAGAGCATTCTTCCGTTTCCTGTTCACAAAACGCTCTTCAGAATTGAAGAAGAATTTCCCTCAGCCTGAACACCTTCCCATCTTTCTTGTAACCCGTCCCTCCCTGTGGATATTCTCAGTTCAGTCAGAGGGAAAAAGAGAAATATTTTCCCAGGCTTAGCCCGGCAGAAATCTTTCTCTTTTTCCTTCTGACTGAACATAGACTATCCAGATCTCCCCATCTTTCTTATAGGCTTCCTTCAGGTACTGGAAGGCACCAATTAGCTGACCCCAAAGCCTTCTCTTCTCCAGGATGAACAATTCCAATTCTCTCCATTTTCTTCACTGCAGAAGTGCTCCATCCCTCTTATCATCTTCATGCCTCTTCTCTGGACTTCGTAATTAATAGTTCATGAAATACGCATAACTATTACTTTTTAGTACAAGAGTCATTTAGAATGATTAAACTAATATCTAATTTTCATTTATTGATATTGCTTCTATTCTAATTGTTCCTATCTTGATTTTCTTTGTGGTTGCAGAGAGACTTGTTTATTTATTGAAATAAAGGTGTTGTAAGAATGTATTCATAGGACACTTTCTTGCTTTTTACCAAAAAATATATTAATCATTCATAAGCGTGAAGTCTCTGATTCTTTATATATAAAATCTATTGTTTATATACTGTTGTTTAGCTATTAAATCTATTGTTTATATATTCAATCTAATGCATGCCTTTGAAAGTATCTAAGGTATATAAGTTCCTACTGTATTATTATATAGGGGCTTTTTTAAATAAAGGCTTTTTTGCTTACCTTTCTGTGATTCCTTGCTTTAAAAAAACCTGTGCCACCTTGAATTGAATTGCAATTACATTACACCTACTTGTAATCTCTTAGAATTCATTGTGAAATGCATAAATCAGAAATTTATTTCGAAAATTCATTGCAGTTGTGCTGCTGGACGTTTCCAAAGATGGAAAGCTTATTCCAAGCCATTTAATACTCCATTACCACAGAAGTGTAGAGATGGGAGGTAGGCTCTGGCACTAATACTGTCCATGGTTCTGTGTCAAATACAAAGGATTTTGAGATATCTGTATCATTCTGGAACGTGTGATTTTCATCACATTCTGGACTTGTGGTTTTCAGCTCTAGAAATATTACTTCCCAGTGATCCATTTTGGTTTTGTGTTCACAGATACTCGGGTGCTCCTGACAAGTGGCCACAGGAGAAGGCAGGGAGATGAGCCTAGTCTACACTGACAGTGAAGCAGAAGTAGAATGCTCATTAACATCTGGGGGAAGGAGATCCTCCGAGATGAACTGTGATCAGGTGCTTGAGCCACAGATGCCTGTAGGTGTTCTAGCTAGCAGGGAGACACACATGGTTACCTTCCTCCCCGTGTCATTGCCATGTCAAACCAGTGATGCCATCTAAATACTAAAAACCAGGTTTCAGTCACAGAAAAATAGAATCATAGAATGTTACAGTTGGAAGGGACCAGCTAGTCCCAGCCTCCCCAGCCACGGGCAGGGGCACTTCCCTATCAATTCTTACCGCTCTGGTAGCGTTCAGGAACACAGATAATCACGCGATATGGTTATATGCAGGTGCTTTCATTGAGAGATCTGGGAATCAGGGGTACAGACCCAAACCCGACTCTGACACGGCTTTCGAGCTGAACGTACTTTATATTCTATCGTTATATAACTTACATATTAATTATTAAACTTATATTATTCTATTCTATATATAGACATGAGTTTCTCGTGATCTTCCTTAGGCCCCTGACCACAGTTTTTCATTATTATTCTTACGATTAAACAGTACTTATATTTAATTTCTAAACAATCATCACATCTAATAATTATATCATTTATCATGTACTAGCTACACAGCTGCAGTTCTAGCAAGGTACGAGGCCTTCATGTACCTAGGGTATTTATTTTTCCAGGGCCTACTAAGCTTAATTTTCCTTTTAACCCAAAATCCCCATGATTTGAAAACCCTTTTACTATCATTTTCCCCCCCTTCACTTCACTATAAGTGCAAATACTTTCACTTGATACAGTCTTTTAGTTTCTGAGTTTATACATGATGTTCTACAAATCCAGGATTGACGTAAACGTTGCCATGGACTAGAGGATCAGAGGATGATGGGTGTGGATCCCGTGTCAGTGCCTTGATTATTTTCAGGTTCCAGGATGTCCTCTTCTGTATCTCTCCTTTTAGGACACTGCAGACTAACCAAATTACTAAGAACACAATTAATAGGATTATTACACTTTCAATCATAGACTTAATCCATGAACTCACATTCCACCCTAACCCTTTAAAGACTTTGTCTAACCAGCTCATAGTCAAATCTTTCTGCTCTTCTTGTGCTCCATGCTCTATTTGTTTTAACTGATTGATGTCATATTCTACATCTGCAGTTACATTTGAGATGTGGATGCAGCAATGATCAATCTGTCCCTTTAAAAATCCACACATTCCGTGCTCTTTCAGAAGTAACAAATCTAAGGCCAATCAGTTTTGTAAGGTCATTTTTGTGGTGGCTTGCAATTGTATGTTTAGTTCTTTAAATCC